TCAATAATCTGACGATTTCGATCTGACGCAAACTCGCGGCTATTATTATAATGTGCAAAAAAATTCGCCATTTTGAAATACTCAAGCGCGTCAGATTTATATATATATATATATATAGTTCATCTTCGCAATAATATAATCAAACAAATGATGTTATTGAAAGGCCAAGAAATTTGATTTCTTCGTTAAAAATGTGTATCAAAATAAATTCAATTGTTTTTTGTCAGTAAATGTTTTAGTTATTAGATATCATTTGAAGCCTTTTTTGGTACTGATGGTGCTACTCATTGGTACCTAGGGGTTTATAAAGCAAGATCCGTCGACCTCTTATGATTGAGAGTTTGTTTTTTCATTCCAACACAATCTCATATCAACTCCCTGAACGAAACTGGTTACCATAGTTCGGGACTTTTCATGAAATTCACTCGAACAAAAATCACAAATATGAATTGCAATTCAAAAATAGGTAAATACTATCTACCTGAATTCCACAGAAAAGAAATCTTTGTGCTCGAAAGAATTTTCCGCAGATCTGTTTAAAAATACATTCAAAACCCTTATTTTATCTTAATGTGCATGGAATATTCAAAACAACTAACTTATTTATTTGATGAGGTTTAATATCGTATCTGTCTAAGTAGCTTTCCAATTACATTTCATGTGACATGTGACCATTTAAAAAAAATTAAATGAGTATACTACAATAGCCTTGAAAGACATATGCCAATATTCATCACGCTACGAATTGGTAAGTCTATACATATATCACTTGTTATCAAAATAAATTCAGTTTATTTTAAAAAAATGAATGATGTAGCTGTAGTTACCAAAGTTTGCTGAAAGTATTTAGCTAAAGTTGAAGAACAGCAGTCAGAAGTTAATTCAGTATAATGTTTCTTGAAATAACTACTTCTTGACTGAACGTTGCTAAAAGTAAGTTATCTGACAAAATACATGAAGCTTCAATTCAACAATGTGAAGTTTCAGAGAAGACACCAATAACATCTTTGGTTATTGATTAAGAATATTAAATCGAAAAAATGTCATTG